AAAATAAAATAAAAAATAAAATAAAATAAAATAAATAAGCTAAAATAATAAAATAAACTAAAATAAAAAAATAAACTAAAATAATAAAATAGAATAAAATAAAATAATAAAATAAAATAAAAATAAACTAAAATAATAAAATAAAATAAAAATAAATAAACTAAAAAAATAAAATAAAATAAAATAAAATAAAATAAAATAAAATAAAATAAAATAAAATAAACTTTTCACTGCTGTCAAACACAGCCCCTTGTGAGTGAGGGACAGGGAGGAGTTAAATCCCTGAGGAGCTGCCCAGGAGCTTTGAGCCTGGTGCAGAATGGACCTGGAAAAAGTCTGTGCCTGGGATGTTGTGGCTCTGTTTGTGGTTGGAAAAGAAGAATGTCCTGCAAAACCTGGAATATGGTGGGAGTGGTGCTCACTGCCAGCTGTTTCCAGCTGTTGGACAGCTCACTGCCAGCTGTTTCCAGCTGTTGGACACTGGGCTGGAAGTGAGCTGGAATATTTCAGGGGTACCAGTCATGGTTCAGTGTCCCTGGGACTGCAGCAGGATTCAGCTGGAGAGTCTTGCAAAGAAAAAACCCTGGCAAAGCTGCAGATGCATGAGTGGGGGGAGTGAACTCTTCCTGCACCCAAACTCCGGGAATTGGGAATTTCTGGGCCTGCAGCTCCCTCTGCTGTTCCTACCAGGGGCTCCTCTGGGTTGGACTGGGAATTGGGTCATCCTGGGATAGTCACAGTGCAGCCACACCTCGGGCTTTGAGCCCCTGCTGCACTGAGATTCCCAAAATCCCAAAGTCCCTGGGGCTGGAAAAGCCCTCCCAGCCCATGGAGCCCCAGCTGTGCCCGATGCCCACCTTGTCCCCTGAGTGCCACCTCCAGGAATTCCCTGGGCACCTTCAGGGATGGGCACTGCAAACCTCCCTGGGCACCTCCAGGCCCTGACCCCCTTTCCATGGGGAAATTCCTGCTGCTGCCCCCCCTGAGCCTGTCCTGGCCCAGCCTGAGCCTGTCCTGGCCCAGCCTGAGCCTGTCCTGGCCCATCCTGAGCCTGTCCTGGCCCAGCCTGAGCCTGTCCTGGCCCATCCTGAGCCTGTCCTGGCCCATCCTGAGCCTGTCCTGGCCCAGCCTGAGCCTGTCCTGGCCCAGCCTGAGCCTGTCCTGGCCCAGCCTGAGCCTGTCCTGGCCCACCCTGAGCCTGTCCTGGCCCATCCTGAGCCTGTCCTGGCCCATCCTGAGCCTGTCCTGGCCCCCCCTGAGCCTGTCCTGGCCCACCCTGAGCCTGTCCTGGCCCAGCCTGAGCCTGTCCTGGCCCACCTGAGGCTGTCCTGGCCCATCCTGAGCCTGT